AGGGAATTAATCGTTGCAATTGAGGATTGTAACGATTTTTGCCGGAAATTATTAATTATTTTGTTGGACATTTGTGCTAAAGTCTCAACATTCGAAATTCTATGTACTTCGGTAGTACTGTACCAGGGAGGCAACTTCAAAATCATCTTCAGAATTTTGTTCTGAATCCTTTGAAGTGCTTTTTTCCTGGTAGTGCAACAACAAGACCATATTGGTACAGCGTAAAGCATGGCCGGTCTAAAAACTTGTTTAAATATTAGAAGTTTATTCGTCAGGCAAAGTTTGGATTTCCTGTTAATAAGAGGATACAAACATTTTATATATTTGTTACATTTGGCTTGAATGCCCTCAATGTGATCTTTAAAAGTTAATTTATGGTCAAGTATTAATCCAAGATATTTCACTTGGTTTGACCAGGAAATTGGAACTCCGTTCATAGTGACTATGTGACTACTACTAGGTTTCAAAAAGGAAGCTCTAGGCTTGTGTGGAAATATTATAAGTTGAGTTTTGGAAGCGTTGGGAGAAATCTTCCATTTTTGTAAATAAGAAGAGAAAATATCTAAACTTTTCTGAAGTCTGCTGCAAATAACACGAAGACTTCTTCCTTTAGCGGAAATGCCTGTGTCATCAGCGAACAAAGATTTGTGGCAACCCTGAGGCAAATCAGGGAGGTCCGAAGTGAAAATGTTATACAATATAGGCCCAAGAATGCTACCCTGAGGAACTCCTGCTCTAACAGGTAGTCGATTAGATTTGGAATTTTGATAATTTACCTGCAGAGTTCTGTCAGTTAAATAATTTTGAACTAATTTCATAATGTAAAGTGGAAAATTAAACTTTTTCAATTTAGCAATCAAACCTTCATGCCAAACACTGTCGAATGCTTTTTCTATGTCTAGAAGAGCAACTCCAGTTGAGTGGCCTTCAGATTTGTTTGAACGAATTAAATTGGTAACTCTCAAGAGTTGATGAGTAGTTGAATGCCCATGGCGAAATCCAAACTGCTCATCTGCAAAAATTGAGTTTGTATTGATGTGAAGCATCATTCTATTCAAAATTATTTTTTCATAAAGTTTACTTATTGAAGAAAGCAAACTTATTGGACGGTAGCTAGAAGCTTCAGCTGGATTTTTATCCGGCTTCAAAATTGGAACAACTTTTGCATTTTTCCATTTATCAGGAAAGTATGCCAAATGGAAACATCTGTTAAATAATTTTACCAGGAAAGACAAGGTACTCTCTGGGAGTTTTTTGATGAGGATATAGAAAATTCCATCATCACCTGGAGCTTTCATATTTTGAAATTTTTTAGTTATAGACCTTACTTCGTCCAAATCAGTCCCCCAGGAATCATCAAAAATATTTTCCCGAGAGAAAATATTCAGAAAATCCCGAGCAACCTGATTCTCAATAGGACTAGTAAGACCCAAACTGAAATTATGGGAACTCTCGAATTGCTTAGCAAGTTTCTGAGCTTTTTCCAAATTTGTGATCAAAATTTTACCACCTTCTTTAAGCGCTGGAATTGGCTTTTGAGGTTTTTTCAAAATTTTTGTGAGTTTCCAAAAGGGTTTGGAACTCGGGTCTAATTTAGAAACATTATTTTCAAAAGTTTTGTTCCTCAGGGCAGAGAATCGCTTTTTAATTTGTTTTTGCAAATCCCGCCAGATAACTTTCATGGCAGGATCGCGTGTTCTTTGAAATTGTCTCCTACGGACATTTTTAAGACGGATCAAGAGCTGAAGATCATCGTCTATTATAATTGAATCGAATTTAACCTCGCATTTTGGTACTGAGGCAGCTCTTGCTTCAACTATAGAAGTAGTCAGAGATTCAAGAGCATAATTAATTTCATCTTTGGTTTGCAAAGGAATGTTTGGATCGAAGTTATATTCCATAAATGTTCGATATTGCTCCCAATCAGCCCTATGGTAATTGAAAGTAAAGCTGTTGGGATTTGAAATTATTTCTTGGGATATTTCAAAAGTTACTGGAAGGTGATCAGAACCGAAGTCAGCATGGGTAACCAATTGGCTACAAAGATGACATGAATCAGTTAAGACCAAATCAATAGTTGAGGGATTTCTTGCAGAAGAAAAGCATGTTGGGCTGTTTGGATATTGAATAGTGTAATAACCTGCAGAACAATCATCAAACAGAATATTACCATTGGAATTGCTTTGAGCATTATTCCATGAGCGGTGTTTTGCATTAAAATCACCAATAATGAAGAATTTAGACCTATGACGGGTAAGTTTCTGGAGGTCACCCTTGAGAAAATTCTTTTGCTGGCCTACGCATTGTAATGGCAAATAGGCAGCTATAAACGTAAGTTGTCCAAATTTTGTTTCAACAGAAACTCCCAAAGTTTCAAAAACTTTGGTTTCAAATGAAGAAAGAATTTTATGCTTGATTCGTCTATGAATAATGATGGCAACGCCACCACAGGGTCCATCAAGACGATCATTTCTATAAATCAAGTAATTTGCGTCCTTCTTAACCTTATGGTCAGGTTTAAGGAACGTTTCAGTTATAACGGCAATATGCACGTTATGAACTCTTAAAAAATTAAATAGCTCGTCTTCATTATCTTTAAGAGATCGAGCGTTCCAATTTAAAATGTTTAATGCTTTAAAATCCATTACTGAATTTTAAAGTCATGACAATATTATTAGCAAATTTTACTCCAGTTTGAATAGCATCAAACATGGAGTTAGATTTAAGCATATCAGAAATCATGTCAATTAATGAATTCTGTAAAAATTCCATTTTAGGGGCAGTAATGCTTCCTAAGTCAAAATTGTCAAAATTTCCGTTAGAACGTTGGTTAGTATTTTGATTTCTACCCGCTGCAATAGCAGCATAGGTAGCTCCATTAACTCGCTGAACATTGTTAGCAGCGAGGGGAGTAGGTACAGATGAAACATTTGAAGCAGGGGTGATATTTGTACCTACGGGTACGAATGTAGAATTTGTTCCTCGCTGACCGTTGTTAACAGCAGAGGAATTTGTACCTGGTCGGAAACGTGGAGCGTTTCCTACCTGTCGGTTAGAACGACATTGTAGGATCGCTTTGCGAGTCTTACATTCCCAAAAATTGGATTTGTGGTTTTCACCACAATTTGAACATTTAAATTTCTTAGGATCTTCCTTCACAGGACAGTCGTCCTTTGCGTGAGAGGAATCACCACAATTCATGCATTTAGCTGGCATGTAGCAATTTTTAGTTCCGTGACCCCATCCCTGGCACTTACGGCACTGAGTGAGGTTTTGGAAATTTCCTCCAGTCTTCCTGAAGTGTTCCCACTTCACTCGGACATGGAGCATAAGGCTAGCTTTTTCTAAGGCCTTAAGGTTGTTTAGTTCACTAGACTTGAAGTGAACTAAATAAAAATCATTAGAAATCCCGTTGCGCGAATCGCCAGGGCGGGATTTCATTTTCATTTTGATTACTTGGAGTGGCACAACTCCAAGTAATTTTGCCAGTTCATCTTTGATCTGATCCAGGGATTCACCACTGGGCAGTCCTTTCATGACAACCTTGAACACACGTTCAGTTTTGGTGTCGTAAGTAAAAAATTTGTGCTTCTTCTCAGTAAGATACTTGAGAAGACATTTAAATCCGTCCAAGGTTTCAGCCAATACACGGCATTCACCCCGACGTCCAATTTGTAGTGAAAACTTAACTTTCACGAAATTCAAAAGTTCCATGCGAAGAGCATGGAAATCGGTAGTGGTTATCACAATAGGGGGAATCTTTTCTTTCTTGGCATTAAGCCGGGAAAGTTTACTAGAATTTTTCTTGGATGATGGATCATTCTCATCATCCGTGAGCAAATCAAATTGATTACTCAAATTAATTTCATCAGAAGGGGGGTCAAGAGTTTGCCCCTTTCTTTTGCGTTTAGGCGCCATGGCGGCAGTAAATTTTTATCCAAATCGACTTCCAAGCAGATTACTATAAGAATCTGAAGGATCGAAGAGGAATTTTCCAAATCGATATCCAAGAAGGATTACCTCGGGTAGGGTCCAAACAAGGATCGAAGAGGAATAAGAGGAGTTGAACAAGGTAGAAAATTTTTACAGGTTGAGCACTGAAAAGTGCTGTTTAAATTTGTTGTAGCTTTAGGTAGTAGTAACACTTCCTTAAGCAAAAAGCAAATAGATCCGCACGGCAAGAGAGCACGATGCGGACTCGATTCGTGAAGCGCTCGTGTTTATTTACATTCCTCGATTGAAACTGCCGTTGACGGTTCGATTGGAACTTTTGGCTTCAGTCTTCGCGCGTCTCTTATTTAACATCGTCTCTGACCAAACCGATAAGATGATCAGCTTCGATTTTTTTTCAGTTTATAGTCTAAATTTCATTGGTACACCGGCAGTGTAGAAAAAAGTGATTTTTGGCATTTAATTTTAAACAATGATCTTTGAAGTTGTAAGTCACTTCTTGGACTTTACTTTTGCATGATTAGATGCATGGTTCAAGCAAAATTGTGGTCTAGGGATAAAGATGCATAAAAAGAGGTTTTCCCATACAAATTTCCACCAATCGTCCCCAAATTTTGCACAGTTGTTTGGGACCCGAAATGGAACCAAAAAAACATTGTTTTTAAAAAAAAAAGATCATGATGACCAATGCAGCTTTGAGAAGCATTGGTTGGCGAATAACTATGACTTTATAAACTGCCCTCCCCCCCCCCCTTCAATTCGGATCTGATACCACGTCCGTTCAAATGGGCGGCAGCGCTTTTTCCATCCTGTAGTTTCGAAGTAACACCTGGTGGGAAGAAGAACTTATTACATTATCCTGCACCCGGTACACACTAGCGGATGCAATACATTTCGCCCAGCTCAAAAACGGGGCAACCTTACGAAGGGAGCCAGGGAGAAAAATGAGCAAAAACATATATTACTTGTAAAGTAATTAATTTCTACGGGTAGTGAAATTAAAGCATGCTTCTACACCTTCTCTCTCTCTCTTTCTCTTTCTCTTGCAGGAAGCCTTCAGATAGACAACAGCGAAGAAGGTGACATGGGGCGGTACGAGTGCGTGGCGGAAAACTCCGTCGGTACGGAACATACAAAGCAAACGAACCTTTATGTGAAAATTCGACGCGTACCCCCCACCTTTTCCCGCCCACCGGAACCTGTCTACGAGGTTATGCTGGGTGGAAATTTGACGTTGACCTGCGTGGCAGTGGGATCACCGATGCCATTCGTCAAATGGCGTCAAGGAATTGATCAGGATCTTACGCCCGAAACCGATGTCCCCGTGGGGCGAAACATCCTGGAGCTAAGTAACATTAGGCACAGTGCCAATTATACCTGTGTCGCATCCTCGACGCTCGGGATAATCGAAGCTGCCACCATGGTGAAGGTGCAATGTAGGTCATCGGTTGGGTTAGGATCATCAGCGTAGGTGATTAATACTTGTGTATCAATTTTACAGCGCTGCCAGCAGCACCCACCGACGTGACGATATCCGAGGTCACCGCAACACAGGTTCGCCTAGAGTGGTCGTACAAGGGACCGGAAGACCTACAGTACTACGTAATCCAGTACAAACCGAAGAATGCCAATCAGGTAAGTGCTCCCCTGAGACGGGACCAACCGGTCGGTTGAAATCTGAAGCCTGTTAATTTTTCCTCGCAACGGGGAAAATGCGCAAAGATGAAATTAATCCCCCATAATTGACAGCATTATTAATGGCATTTTTTCTCTCTCCGGCCCTTCCTCGGCAGGCGTTCAGCGAAATCAGTGGCATCATTACAATGTTCTACGTCGTGCGAACGTTGAGCCCGTACACGGAGTACGAGTTCTATGTGATCGCTGTGAACAATATCGGTAGAGGGCCGCCCTCGTCGCCAGCCACGTGCACTACCGGAGAGACAGGTATTTCCCATCGGATCCAGCACTCAGCTTCAATCTCCCTCCCACACCAGTTTATCTTGTCGCTATATCTATAACCTAGCGCCTCTTTTTTTCACAATTTCACCAAGCGAAAAAACAAACAAACAGACACATATTCACTTCACAGCACCAGAGTTTCCCTTTTCCCGATATCAAACGAACAGGTATCAGTTCCTCTCGTTTTATGTTTTCACAAGCGCACCAAACAACAAACACCATCCATTAACACATCACATCAGTTGCTGCACCGCTGTGTGAGGCACCCACATGTGTATAGAACAGCCAGCCATCCCAGGCAGCACACACATCAACAAGAGAGCAGGCAAAGAGCCCGTCCTCACCGGGAGGGTCGGAAAAATAATGACCAGTGCCCGACCGGTTTTTGGCCCAAAGCGTCAATATAATTGATTTTATTACACGCCGGGAAATCCATAGATCACCATTAGGGCCGTCCGGCTGCATGGTTTGAGAAAGCAACAAAAAAAAAACCGGAAATCCTTTTGATGCGTGCTGGGTGATCGATAAGCGCGTGCAAAAGATGAATGGAGGCATGGTCGCCTCAGGCCGTATAGCGGAAAACAAACAAAAATTCCACACTCTATTTTGCTTTAATAGTGGCTCTAATTGCTGCGGGGAGATTTAAGGTAGAACTGTCGGAGGCTACCTAATACTTAACTGTAATACATGCTATCATCAAACCATGCTATGCTGAAGATGACGCGGGTTAGATTCCCGGTCTAGTCGTGGATTTTTTCGGATTTAAAATTTTCGTGGCTGCAAGCAGTTGTGGATGATAATAGATTTAAAATTTTATTTTACTTAAAAATCCTTTCGATATTGGGTTATGTAGAGATGACTGCAGTCCTGAGACGTTTAATCAACATGAGAAATCAGAGATTTTCTGAAGTTCTGATTGAAATCATCCGTTAATTCTCCCGGAAGCGTTGTTATATTTTCTAAAATGCAGTTGGAATTCCGCATAAATATTAAGAAAAAGACTTTCTGTCATTCTTTTCATCACTGCCATACACTGCGCTGATAGGCATTTTCCTTTTTTGCGGATTGAACATGTTCCGGGTACCCCTGAAGAAGCGGCCAGAATCTGAATAGAACTAAACCCAAGTAACCAAAAGTTCCGCATTCAACGATTAAAATCACTTCCAAGTTCCATAAAGTTCAAATAAAGTTCCGACAGAACTTTCAAGTTTCAGAATACTCTTCAAATAAAGAGTAATTTCCTGGATTTGAACCAGTGTATTCGGCATGCGATCTACGATAGCTTACCACTGTGCCACAAGTGGAATACCATGCGGGTAAACACCAATTTAAAATTCATCAAGGTGTTGTGTTTCGTATTCAACTCAGTCAGCTCCAACAGTAGGCGGGCACAATAGCTCACTTGAATGTATCTCAGATGACGTAGCGGTTCGTTCTGGGGCTCTCACGCAGAAGGTCTGGGTTTAATTTTTCAAACAGCTCCAATTGTCTACTACTAATGCTGATGAATCAATACACATTAATACCTGCCTTTAGAAATAACTTTCATAAAAGTGCGAACTAAATATAGTAGAATTTTAGTGTAGAGGACAAAAACCTTTTTTAATTTATTTTCTAAAAGTTCCGTTCAATTTCCGCCAGAAGCTGCTTAGAATGCTCTTCAATTGTGGTACCGGAACTTTCAAGTTCTTATAACGACTTGAAAATGAGGCTGCTTAGAATTCTATAGACCACCTTCAAGCAAGCTGCTTAAGCCACGAATAGCCTTTTATCAGAACTTTTGGTTACTTGGGAACCCATCGTGCGACACATCAAATTACTTGAGAATTCAAATATAAGAGTATCCAGGATCACATAAGTCACACTTGGAAATGTTCCGGGATCCCGTGGTGAATTGACCAGAATCAGACTTAACCTAAGAATCTAAAAAATAAGATCATTGGTGGTCATATTGAATGTAAGAAGGAGTCGATCTCCCCATAGGTGGATACATTTAAGGGTTTTTGTGTACAATCTAATAATAATTCGTTATAATTCGTTATGATTTCTGATCCATGCAGCTGCTAGATTTCAAATTTATCAGCTTATGTGGTATACTTAACCAATTTCAGATCAAAAAATTAAAATTTTTTGATCGGAACTTTGATTAATTTCCGGTTACTCTAATGCTACGTTCAAATTATGGAGTTGTGAATTGTTATGAGCTGTTTACAAGATACAAAATTAAATAGTTATACATTTTTCTTGTATCACCGCTTATAGCTCTTTACAGCTCTCTAGTCTAAACATGCCATAAATGTACACCAATTATCATAATAAATGTTTAGGCTTATTTTTATCAGTGTTCTGATCTTCAGCATTGTGGAGTTCATCGTTTATACGGAAAACACTTCGAGGGGAAGACAATTTAATCTCTACTTAACATATTTAAAATATTGTAAATGATTAGGAAAGATTAGGCGGGATTAAAAAGATTAGCGATAGGGGAAATGCAGGTAATGTCGGTCTAAGTGTCCCTAATTTGGGCTCATACATAAATTCAGCAATTGACTAAATTTTCAATAGTAACCAGAAATATCCATTAGTAACGTCCCAATAATGCGTTCATCTAGATAAAATTGATAAATAGCAGTTTTTTTTAGCGATGGGCCCTATCTTAGATCCATAGGCCAACATTAGATACATTTAACCTATGTATTATTTCATGTGTCAGAAAGCACAACGACCGACTTTTTACTTCAGTGTTTATTTCGATATGTACAAAAAAGGCAATCATCGATATTATCACGCTGATACAACGAAGACTTCAAACGTTCCAGACCGAGTTCCAGACCATTTAAAGGGGTTTGCTGGCGTTCCGGACGGAGCCGGACTATTTCGAGGAAAGTTCCAGCGGAGTTTTCTAACGATGTCTGCGGAGGAGGTTCCGTTGAATTTCAGTGAGGACTGTCGGTGCTGCCAACGAACCCAGACGAGATTTTCGATGCTGCACATTAAGGTTCCGGTAGATTTTTCGGAATTCTTGACAAAACAGGTTCCAGACGATTCTGGTGGAGATTTTCGATGAGGGATTTTTTCTAGTGGTTACTTGGGTTCTAACGTTGAAGCAAGAGCTACCTCAGTACCAAAACGCGCGGCTAAATTCGATTCAATTTTAATAGACAATGATCTTCAGCTCTTGATCCGTCTGAAAAATGTCCGTATGAGGCAATTTGAAAGAACACGCCAGGAAAGTTATCTGACGGGATTTACAAAAACAAATTAAAAAGCGATTCTCTGCCCTGAACTTTTGAAAATAATGTCTCGAAATTTGACCCAAGTGCCAAACCATTTTGGAAACTCACAAAAAAAATGACAAAAATCTATTCCAGCGCTTAAGGGGAAGCTCACCGGCCCAAAAATAAAAAAAATATTTTCGGTACGTTTTTATTTTTCTAAAAATATTGGGAAAAATTATCAAAAATCCAAGAAAATCAGTTTCTTCCTTAGATTTTTGTCAAAAATTACATGCAAAAAAATTTTTTCTATCCCATCATGAAAAAAAATTGGACTCTCAGAAAAACCGAAAAGTTGATGTTTTGTGGTTTTTTGAGTCCAACTTTATGCCATAATGACTTATAAAACATGTTTTTGCACGTGAATTTTCTTTAAAAAATTAGAAAAAATGTGATTTTTTTAGATTTTGGATACTTTTTTTCAATATTTTTAGAAAAATCAAAACGTAATTTTTTTTTCGGAGCGGTCTGCTTCCCCTTAAAGAAGGTGGTAAAATTTTGAACACAAATTCGGAAAAAGCTCATAAACTTGCTAAGTAATACGAGAGTTAACATAATTTCAGTTTGGGTCTTACTAGTCTTATTGAGAATCAGGATTGCTCGGGATTATCTGAATGTTTTCTCTCGGGAAAATATGTTTGATGATTCCTGGGGGACTGATTTGGACGAAGTAAGATCTATAACTAAAATAAAATTATTTAACAGATTTTTCCATTTGGAATACTTTCCTGGTAAATGGAAAAATGTGAAAAATTGCCCAGAACACACAATTAGGCAAAGTGTCATGCAAATCGAAGAAGTTCGAACCCAAATTATATTTTTTCCCCTATTTGGCCTTGGGTTTTGTGTATTTGCTCGTAAACAACCTTTTCCTTAAGATCTATTCAGCCGTCAACACATGTGGTGTATTAAAGTTGTAGATCTTTTTTATTGCAATGCCCACTCACACGCAACATGCCTCCTAGAGGTGTCTGTAAGCATGTAACATACAATCAGCGCCGGGCAAAGATACTGTTGATTTCCGCCCATATCGGGAACCATTAAATATCACTCATTTCGCTACACCAAATATTCAATGATCCCGTCATTTATCTTCATTAATTGCCGATGTAGTGTACAGCACACGGATGTTGACGGTGAAGATGCGATTCATTCAGGCCGTACCAATGGCGGCATTAGATAGCTATTAATATAGCAGCCAACCAGTGTGAATAGGGAACGTCTATGGTGCTAGGCAATAAATATGCTTATGTGGGATGGCGTCTTTCCTGTTGAGAATTTTATCCAACATGTTGATAGGCGATGCTTGAGTAATACTCATTCAATTGAATCATATGAGCTCATTTTAATGAATGAATGAATCAGTGAAGTTTACTCCAATGTTGCATAAGTTCATATTGAGAAAATTGTCGTGTAACATTAAAACAATGAAATTATCCTTTGAACTTTTCAAAAATGCTTAATTACTGTGTAGCTGCTAAGCACTTCGTCATTCTTTACTAACTGGGGGTCACATTAAGCAATCTAAAATGAGACTTATATGTCTCCAAAGCATTAATGTGAAATATGTCATGCAATATGCCACTCCACGGGGAATTTATCCAGAAATGTTGTGGTTTATAAAACAAATGGTTAAATAATTAAGAAACTTAACTAAAATTGATAGCATCAAAGTTTCCCATACATTTGCTTAGACCACAAGGTGTCTTT